CTGCGAGTTTGAGACCAGCCTGGGCTACAAAGTGAGCTCAAGGCCAGCCTGAACTGCATAGTGAGACCCTGTCTCAAAAAGACAAAAACAAAACAGAAAGAAATGACTCTAGCTCGCTCTGACCCAATCTACAGTCTTACCACTAGAAAATTAAGGTGGTAGACAGCATCTCCACCGTGTATGAAAATAGTGCTGGCGTGGGTTTGGTGGTGACAGCAAGAACCTGTGTCACAGGCTGCCTGGGGAGCTCACCAGAACACCTCTGTGCTGACAATGAAGCGCCTTCCCCGCTTACCCTACACCGATGGTCATGATAGGCCAACACCGCACCAAGGCCTAGCAGGGTCCCCATGACCTTCCATCCCCTAGTGCTGCAGTTATCACCAGAGAAGTTGCGGATGGGGTGCTGGGGCTGAAGTGAATCATTTGTGGAGCAGGTCTGAATGCAGAGCCTTGAAGGAGTTGACCTGAGTCAGGAAGAAAGAGATCCCAGAAGTATACAAGGTCATGTGAAGGTGCCAGTGACAGCCGGGGTCTGCCTCTCCCTGGTTGGTCACACTGGTTCCTTCAGTTAGAATTCAGTTTCTCACTGACGGGTGGGACATATGGTTTTTCTTTTCCTCCTTGGCCACCTCTCAACTATCTTATCTGGAAGATAAGATGTCTGGGAGATAATGATCTGGCAGATAAGATAGTTATAAGGGTGATATGGCTAAGATTAGAGTGCTGCCTGGGATGACCTACCTGAAGGCCTGTCGAAGGCCAAGGACCACAGGTCTGTGCAGCAGAAGCATGGTGGCTGGCCTGCAGGAGGAAGTCCATGGTCAAAACAAGAGCCCTGCGAGGAGGACTTAGGGAGGGCAGCAGTGGGAGGAAGGAGCTGTCGGGGCAAGGGTGAGGGTCCAAATGGACTCTCGGACGAAACCCGGAACCCTTCAGAGGCAGACTGCTGGCAGGACGGAAAGCGGGGAGCGCCTGGTGCTTCTGGAATACCTGTCTCTCATCCTCTGCTCCCTGCTTTGTGCTCCGTAGAGAACAATACCAAGGCCAAGGGGCGAAAGGACAGAAGCCAAATGTCTACTTTCCAGCTGGCCAGTTAATTTATTTATCTTCTGGTGTTCGGACTAAACCCAAGGCCTTGTGAATGCTAGGCAAGCTCTATCCATGTCCTGCCTCAGTCTGCTTGGTAATTATTTCTCAGGTCAGTGGAGGACAACCGAGGGTCAGACTGATGTAAACAGACAAAAAAAAAAAGGCAAAAAAGGCAGCGTCAGCCTGGTGAGGTGAAGGCGGGTTCCACCCACTGTGAGGCACAGGGCTGGCCTCGAATTCGCCGGGTTTGCGCAGCCCAGCCCTGTCACTGATCAGGTCCTTATCCAGCAGAACTCATATGGCGAATAAACAAGTAATAAGGTTGTCACTGAAGGAGTTTCCCCTTATCTTCCTCCACTTCCCCTAACAAATGACACCAGCTGGGACCTGTACCCCAAGTCCAGGTCCCCACCCCAACCTTCTCTATTGCATTCGGGTGAGCTCAGCAAATTGCGAGTCAGTGGCCGGGGTGTCAGAAGGGCTGACAAAGCAAGTTCACTTTGGCGCTGTGTCCTGCAGCAGCTTCTGCCTCGGAGCCCTGTGCTCAGTAAGTACTGATCCAGGAGGGCGGAGGTGGAGAGGGGTGAGATGTGGCCCAGCTGCTGCTGAGACGCTGGGGACCAAAGGGTGAGGGTGGCCGCGGACGGGGAGGCAGAGAAGCCACCAGGGATGGGGAGCACACTCTACCTTTGGGCCGCGGGGCCTCGCCCTTCCCGCTACTTATCCTCAATCCACAGCCAGCTTGCAGCAGAGCGGGGGTCCAGGTCTGGGGGCGGTGGCTTTCTGCGGCGACACAGGGATCCCACTGGTTGGCGCGAGTTGACACAGGGATCTCCCCTCTCTCCGTCCAGGGGTGCTTTAGGGAGGAAGGTCAGTCCAGCCTTCGGGCAGAGCAGCGGGCCCTGCGCCACTGCCTAGCAACACTCCGCCACCCCAGGAGCGCTCTGGCATCGCAGTGGAGGCACTGCTACTTCTGTTACTCCTATGGGTCGGAGTCCCGGTGGGCGCCAAGGCCCTCCCCAGCCTCCCCGGGGCCCCCGCCGCAGCGCCCCTTACCCGGCTCTGCCTCCGCGCCTCGCCGGCTGTACCCGCTCGGCCGCCGCGCTTGCGAGGGGCGGGGCGGCGCCGTGACGCGGGCGCGGGTGGGGGCGTAGAGGCGGCCTCCGCCCCTGAGCGGTCCCCCGGCTATTGGCCCGCGGTTTCTGGCTGCGGCCCGGAGGTCGGCCGAGAGGGGCGGGCGGGTTGCCGGGAGGGCTCGGGGTGAGGCTGGCGGCGTTGTTGCCTCTCTCGCCTTATACCTGTCGACTAGAGCCGATCATAGCCCGCTGGGCAAGAAGCAGGACCTTCGGAGATGTCGGGAGCGGAGCCGGGCGGGCGGCGGAGGGGACCGGCGGAGGTGACGTGCGCTCCAACCTTGGGCTGCAGCCCCGCCCCACCCGCCGGCCAGGGGTCTGGGCGGAGGAAGTCCCTGCCTCACCCCTGGCGTCCCCGGGACCCAGAGTTCTGCATCTACTGCCTGAGACGGGGCCTCGCTATGTAGTTTGGACTGGCTTTGAACTCACCCAATCTTCCAGACTGGCCTCGAGTTCGTCCTGTCTCAGCCTCTCAATGCTGGGATTACAGGTGTGTGCCACCAGGCCCTATTATGCTTCTGTTTTTTGACAAGTGTCTGCCTGCTGCAGCTGCAATCCTGGCTTGTTTTAGGGAAAGCAAGGTCACTCGCTTCTCCTATATCCAGTAATGACAGCGGAAATGAAGTCTAAAATAGTGGTTCCAAGACTTGAACATGCCATGGGCCAGTTGAATTTGCCCCTAAAGTATGGAACCAGCAACACTGAATAGCCATCTTCTAAATTTTGCGTAGTCAATTTAAATCATAAGAGCTGGAGCAGCTTAACACCCGAAGTACGATTATAGTCTTACTGCAAATTTAAGGGCACTAACAATAAATTTGCTATTACCCTTTTATCATTTGCGCAGTAGAAATTTGTGAAACCCAGTTCTGCAACTGAGACAACCATACACTGCCCTCTGGAGGCCAGAGGGTTGAGCTACAGTCTGAATCCGTGTAAACCAAGGAGTAGCACTGTATCTTCTTTCTGGGAAGCGCTTTCACCAGGAATCCAGGGTGAGGGTGGAGGACGTAGTGAGGAACAGAAGGAAAGTGGAACTGACAGTGAAAAGGTGATTTTGGCTCTAAGCTTTTTGGAAATACGTTTCTAAGCTGTGCATAATTAATCATGAAAGAGACCTGAAAGCCCAACCCGTTCTGTGAATTGAAAAATTTCAACTCCAAGAAAATACAGAGAACGAGGGGCTGTCTAGAAGCCATAGAGGAAGCCTCCTTCTTATGCATGCTTTACACATTTGACCTTTAAATCTCAACTTCACTTTAGGGAGGAAGAAACTGAGGCATACTTAGTAACTTGATCAAGGCCATAGCTAAGTTAGAAATGAGACTGAAACGCAAAGTCTGGGTGTCATCAGTCCTCAAGATGCTTTTATTTTTTTTAAAGACATGTCCTCACTATACAAGTGGGCCTTGAACTTTTTTGAGACAGGCTTTCCCTGTGTAGCGCAGGCTGGCCTCAAACAGCAATCCTCCTGCCTCAGCCTCCTGCGTGCTGGGATTAAAGATGCTGCCACCCTGCCTAGCTGATTCTTTAGAATTTAACTCTGCCTATTATTTTTGTTTCATCCCCTCTACCTCTTACCCTTCAGCATGAACGATCTGAAGGGCTTCTAGCAGGAGCTCACAGTAAATCCAGGGGAAAAAAATTTGTTGAGGTTGAAGCCACATGATTACTCAATAAAGCTAATGCAGTGATTTCACTCTTTCGTTCCCTTCTTCCTTCCCCTTCTGTCCCTTTCCTGACAGGGTCTCGCTATGTAGTTCAGGCTGGCCTTGAACTTGCTTATATATCCCAGGCCGGCCTCCGTGAGCCTCCTGAGTGCTGGGATTATAGGCATGTCCCACTGTGCCCCAGTACTTGTTTTTGTTTTTTATCCTTGGGGGTCAAGTATCCCTTTAAGACACTATTGCAAGTACACATAACAGACCCTTTAAAAGTACACATAAAATCTTGCACACTCTTCCAAAGGATCTACAAACATCACTTTTCCCTCTTGTCTCCTCAGTGGGCTGAGAGATCCAGACCATACCTCTACAACTGTATGAGGCTAAAAAGAAAATTAAGGTCAGATTTGAAAAAAACTATGTAGCTTTTTTTGTTTGTTTGAGACAGGGTCTTGCTACGCAGATTGGGCTGGCCTTGAGCTCACTTTGTAGCCAAGGCTGGTCTTGAACTTGCAGTGATCCTCCTGCCTCAGCCTCCCTCCCGAGTGCTGGGATTACAGGAATGTGCCACCATGCCTGGCTGAAACTATGCAGTTTTTTGACTAGGATCAATTCAACAGAAATAAGAGTTAATTTTTAATCTGAATTCTTCTACTATTCGAAAAGATTAAGATGCCCACAATGGGGCCCTCATTCATATGTCTGGCTGGCCGCATCAGTAAAACGACTCATGGAAGTGATCCGGTCCATTTGTACCACCAGTGACACAAGGCTCCTACGGGACAGCTATGCATGGACCACTAGTGGCTCAAGCCAGTGGGGATGTGTTCAAGAGAATAAAGACGCACCAAGACACAGGGGAATATATGTTTCTGACTTCTAGTATGAGACCAATAGCAAAAAACAAAGCGACACTCCAATGCACTTTTTTTTTTCCTTTTTACTTACATTAAATACATCGGTAAATCAGCAGTCGCATCTGTTACCACGATTGTTATGTAGGGGAAGAAGGGGAAGAAAGGCAAATGCTTTCTTAGAAGAAAAAGAGAAAAAGGACACCCCTCCTCCCCTAAAACAAAACAGAAAAACTGGTCAGGAGAAAGAGATGAAGAGCTAGGAAATTTAAAATTAAGATCCTCAAGCCCAAAAGGGCTCACAGCAGGGCAGAAGAGCTGGCAGAAGTAGAGGGAAGGCAGCAAGGTCGGCCTAGAAGCGAAGGCCAGTACTGTCCCTAAGGCGGCGAGGGAAGGGTGAGGCCCCGACACGGCTTCCCGGCCTCGGCAGGAAACACCTTCACTCCTGCTCCACACAGAAGGCTACACACACAAAGAATCTCATTTCTCAGAGACTCAGAGCCATCTTAGTTCTTCCACTTGTGAGAAGGGTGCGCTGGGAGCTCTGGGGGCGGGGTAAGGGTTCTGGGAAAGAAGGGAAACTGTGTGTCGTTTCAGGGCCATGGGAACTAAGGCTGCCCCTGGAAAAGGAAGGGAATTGGGGCCTAAGTGGAAGAACCGAAGCTGGGTCCTTCACAAGCCCAGCCTCACGCCGATTTCTCAGCTGCTCCAGGATGGAAGGCCGTCTGCAAGCCAGAGGGCAGAAAAGCTCCAGTCCTAGGTTATTGTGGCTTTTCCTGTCTTTCTTCCCCCAAATTCCCAAAACTCTGGGCTGGAACAAAAAGGAACTTAAAGGGTTCTCTCCTCCCTTGGTGGTTCCCCACAGACACCCTAAAACACCCGATGAAGGATGTGGGGAGAGGCTAGAGAGCTGAGAAAGGACCAAGGCCCTCTGACGACACGAGTTGTGAGCACCCTCGGTGCCCATCACTTTCCGTCACAGCACCAGGCCCCTGTGGTACTACCCCTCGTGGTACACGGTTGCGCGGGAGGGTGGGCATAGGCCAAGGACAGAAGAACTATAGTCAAAGTCCTAACAGAAGAGAAAGGAAAAAGGGCCTGACCGGAGGCAGGGGGTAGAAGAGACCATACAGTGAAAATAAAGTTTATACCTATTTACAGGGAAATAGAAAAGATATGGTAACGGACAGCAAATTGAATGTGAACCCTGGGGACAGGAAATTCCTCCCTTTTGTCTGACCTCTCTACTCCCCTACCTTGGCCTGCGCTAGACTAAGCCACTCCCCAGTTGCTCAGTTAATTCTCCAGAAAGGCAAACCTGTATGAAAGAGTCTGGCAAGAAGGAAGGTTAAGAATTAGACTTGGAGGAAGAAGCTAGCAGTGGAGACTGTGCTTGAGTAGCTGCCACTGGAACTGTTTTCTGTAGCCCCCACCCCCTACCTTATACCTCAGATTCTATTTAATTAAAAAGATGAGAGGGCAGGTAAATCAATCAGAACCCCCATAAAACAAGTATCCCGACCGAGCTACCATCAATTAAAGTGCAAACTGCAGGGAGTACGGAGGGTGGGGCTGAGGCCACCGAAAAGGCCAGCGGTGAAGGGAATGCATATGTATAACCGGAGGATGGGTATGAGAAACCGGCCCCTCCTCCAATTAAATCACAGCAAAGCCGAAGGTGCAGGCAACCAGTGAAGATTCTTTGGAGGACCCCAGGCTCCGATCCCCTCTAGGGGAGAAGCTACCGCAGAGGACGGGTGAGGAAAACTGGGCCGGGGAGGAGCTCCCGGGCCACAGAAGAGCCTGCACCTCCGCCTCTGTTCGCTTAGCTAAGAGCGCGACTCCCACGTGGTTCCTGAGAGCCTGGCTCCTCGCTCTCACCTCTCCCTAGGAAAGCCCTCCAGCCAGGCCAACTCACGGATACTGCAGTGTTTTCACGTGTGAGACTCCAACCAAACAAAAACGAAAAGGGACCTTCCTTCCTCCTGCTCTGAGCCTTGTTCTTCCCCAGGGCCTGCAACGCACTGAACTAGAAACCTCCCTTCTCAGCTTCTGAGTTCACCACCTTCTCCATCCTGGAGAGGAGGAAAAGAGGATCAAGAACGAGGACTGATCAAAAGCAGGAAGGGGGAGGGGCGGGGGACAAAGAATGTTTTCTGAAGAAATGGGGAAGAACATGGGAGGAAGAGGAAAGCTGAGCAGGTCACTGTCTTGCACCTATAATACAAAGTGAAGAGTTTGTTTTGGGAGGTAAGTCCTGGGGAAATCTGACCCCCAACCCCTCAAGTAGAGGGTAGGAGGCCAGTGGCAACAGCTGCCTGGTGTTGGTTGCTGAAGCGTTAAAAAGTGCCATGACGGAGCTGTCAGGAGGCAGCCCGCGGGAGCCAGGGCTCAGTGTGCTGTTACCGCAGGGGCTGTGTGCTGAGGGGTGGGGACAGAGGTTATTTCTTAGCTCTCGTGCTAGCTCCGTACTGGTCTGCTGCTAGCCATCCCCTCAGTTGCTACAACACTGGCTCTTGTTCTGCTGGGACTGCTCGTGGAGATCCACACCTCGGCTTCGGCCTGCCGCACCCCCCAGATTCTGGGGTTCACTCTTTGGCAACTTCTTAGCTAAAGATAAAAAGAGAAGGGAACAAAGTATGGCAGGTTTTATTCAGCCCCTCTGCCCCAAACACACACACACACACACACAAAGCCTACCGGAACAGGGAAGACGGTGGAAACCGTGAGAATAAAAGAAATGCTCTGAAGAGGGGAGTGTCACTGCTTACAAACTACCCTGAACACAAGGGGCCTGAACTGCAGCCAAAGGGTGGAGGTTACCACAGAACGGTAAGGTATTTCCACAACTCACTATGAGGCCCACGCTGCCCCCAAACTCGGCAGTCCTCCAGCCTCAGCCTCCTGGGTGCTGGGACTATCGGTGTGCCCCACCATCCCCAGCCCTGGAGATTAAAGGCCCAGGACTACGAGGCAAACAAGCACTCTAGTACTACATTACGCCCCAGCGCCACACCTGAAGTTTCTATAAAGGGAGACATTCCTGCCTATTCTTGATTGGGGCTAGTGATGATTTATTTTACCTATTAACCAGGGGAAGTCGGGGGACTTCAGGCTGCTTTGGTCTTACCTATCGCCAGGAAGAGATCATTCACATTCATAGCCGTCTTCGCTGAAGTCTCCATAAACAATAAGCTGTTGTCATCTGCATATGCTTGGGCCTCCTGCAAGGAGTGGGGAGTATCAGTGCTCAGAAGGTAGAGAGTAAGTGTTGCTTTTTCATTCCCGTGTATCACCAGGCCTGGCCGATTTCCCAGGTTCCTTCCCCTTAACGAATGCCCCTTCGAGCCAAGTGACCCTTAGACCCATAATTTGGTGATGACTCCCTTAAGATAAACCTATGTTCAATCAGTTCAACAAACAGATTCAGGAACCTTCATTATGTTTTTGGGATCTGACACGTGACTAGCCCCTTAACTCAGTTTTTGCTTTAAAACAGTAGCAGGGATCTAACCCAGGAGCATTTTACCCCTAAGCTTCATTCCCAGCCCATTTTCTTTTTTGAGGCAGGGTCTCCCTCAATTGCCCAGGCTGGCCTTGAATTTGCAATCTGTCTGCCTCAGCCTCTCAGTCTGAGATTACACGGGTGTGGCCCTGTGCCCAGCTCCTTCCTATTTTCACACTGCTACCCCAACAGCTGGGTGTTCTACACCCTAATTCTGACATTTTCTTTTGGCTCCTTTAAAACCATGAGGCTGCCCTCAGGTCAGTGTTGCAGGGCTGAACCCGGTCAGGACTGAAGAAGCAGACCGTGAATGTGCTAAGCGAGGTCTTCAGAGCGGGCTGGCTCGGAAGGAGGTGCAGAGGGAGGGCGTTACAGGGGAGCTCGGGGGGCCGTCTTACTTCATACTCCACCATGCGCTTGTTGGCTAGGTCAGCTTTGTTCCCTGCCAGGGCAATGACAATGCTGGGACTGGCTTGCCGCTGTAGTTCCTTCACCCATGTCTTCGCGCGAGCGAAGGTTTCCTAGGAAAACGCGAGAAAGACAAGGTGTGGGCTGAACGACCGCCAGTGCACTGCCATCACTTTCAAAAGCCAGAGTGTGGGAGACCAGCTAAGGAGGACTGAGGCCCTATCGGCCCCCTGTGTGAGCACAAAGGAGAAAAGCCTCACGCAGGGACGACGGCGTGTTGCGGGTTCTAGGGAGAAGTAAACACAGCTGAGATCCAGTTGTTACCTAGACACGTAGGAAGGGATAGGGAAGGCAGATGACGCTTGTGTTACTTTAATTGCTTGTAACCAGTTCCAGTGAATGAAAGCAGGATGAGCCCGACACTCGGGGGTCCCCCGCCTCCTAGAGGCAAGAGCTCCCTGGCGGCCCACACGTTAAACTGGCTCTGCTGTCTCTTTCATCCTTGTGCCCCTGGGTCAGGCTGACAAGGCCCCTGCAAGTGGCGCCTTGAGTAGGGAAAGACCAGAGCAGGCTGGTTCCCCAGGTGGCGTCTGGACGGGGATCTGGGACGGTGTTAGAATGGCTCCCTACACAGCCTCACAGCTCACCTCTTCCAGGGTTCTTCCCACACTAAAACCACGGGTCTCTGATAATTCATTACTTGTCTTCTTAGAATTTAGAAGCATAATTTGCTATTTCAAGAACTTGTTTCCTCTCCCCTACTAATTTTTTTTTTTTTTTGGTGAGGGGAGACGGGGTCTCCCTATGCAGTTCAGGTTGGGTTTGAACTCACTATGTACCTCAGGCTGGCCTCGAACTCACAATGATCCTCCTGCCTCAGCCTCCCAAGTGCTGGGATTCTAGGCGTGTGCCGCTTTGGCTCTTCCCCCACCAAATGTAACTTCTATAAAGAGGAGGAGGACCGTCTTCGCAGCCCACTTACCTGATTAGTGATATCATAAACCACAATTGCAGCTTGGGCGCCCCTGTAGTACATGGGGGCTAAGCTGTGGTATCGCTCCTGCCCGGCTGTGTCCCAGATCTCAAACTTGACTGTG